TGTTTTAATTAAAGATTTTGAACTTTAATTAAATTCATTATGAACATTACTTTTTGATTATTATCCTTCAACATTATCCTCTCGTATATAACACTTATATACAATGTTTAAGGTTACATAAATAATCATAGAATTTTCATTGATATTCATAAAATATTCACAAATATATACACATAAAATTGATGAATAAACTCTTTTATTAAATAAATAATAAATATCATATTACATCTTATGCTTCTAGGACACCATTCCCAACAATATCCTGCAAGGCTTTAATCTTTTCAGGGTTAGCTTCTATCCCCCGGTTGCTGACCATGAAACCAAGAAACTTCTCTTACCCAACTCCAAAGGCGCATTTTTAGGGATTTAGTTTCATGTGGTATTTTTTTAATACACCAAATATTTCACCCAGGTGGTCGACGTGTTGGTTGGCCCTGGCACTTTTCACAAGCATGTTGTCGACGTCGACTTCCATTGATTTGCCGAGCTATTGAGCGAACATTTTTATTCACGAGCCTTTGCTAGGTAGCCCCCGCATTCTTTAAGCCAAAAGGCATTACCTTGTAGCAGTAGAGGCCCCTGTCGGTTATGAAGGATGTATGCTCCTCGTCGGCTGGATGCATGGGGATCTGGTTGTACCCGGAGTATGCATCCACGAAACTCAGTATTTCATGCCCTGCTGTGGCGTCGACCATCTGGTCTATTCGAGGGAGTGGAAAGCCGTCCTTCGGGTAGGCTTTGTTGAGATCGCTGAAGTCGACGCATGTCCTCCAGCTCCTGTTAGGCTTGACCACCAAAACGGGGTTCGAAACCCAATGCGGGTAATGGGCCTCCCTGATGAACCCATTGTTGATCAACTTGTCGACCTCCTCTTTCAGCGCTTCATACCTCTCTGGGTTCATTGGTTGACGCTTCTAGCGCTTGGGAGGATATGAGGAGTCAACGTTCAGGAAGTGACATATGACCTCGGCGTCGATCCCTTCCATATCGACATGGTTCCAGGCGAAGACGTCTAAGTTCTTTTTGAGGAAGTCCTCAACTTCAATCTTGAGTGATGGGGCTAAGCCTGAGCCCATTTTTAGTACTTTGGTTGGCTCGCCTTCATCAACTCGAATTTCCACCAATTGCTCGATGGGTTGGGACTAGGCGACCTCCTCTTGAACCCTGGGATCTATGTCTTCAACAGTGTTTTGATAGACCATTCTGGCCTCCTGTCGCCTTGGCTGGTCGTATCCACGGAGGGCATCGGAGTATACAACCCTAGCTTCGTACTGGTTGCTCTTCATCTCGCCTACATCGTTTGGGGTAGGGAACTTAACCTTCTGGTGGTAGACGAAGGTTATTGCCCTCAGTGCCTGAAGGGTCGGTCTCCCGATTACAGCATATACTGAGAGCCCCCCTTTATTACCACAAAGTTGGCCATTATCGTGGTCTGTCGGGGTTTTTCTCTGACGATTATAGGCAACCGGATAGTCCCCTGAGGGATGACGGAGTCCCCGGTGAAACCGTATAATGGCCTAGTGGTCTTCTCCAACTGCTCCTTTCGGATCCCCATCTTTTCCAAGCAGTCGGAGTAAAGGAGGTCCACCGAGCTCCCATTGTCTACCAGGATTCGGCATACAGTGTGATTTCCAATCATGGCTTCCACTACCAATGCGTCGTTGTGGAGAAAGTGAACTCCGCTGGTGTCGTCCTCATTAAATGCCACATCGGCACTATTATATTGTGGGGTTTTTACAGCGGAGACACTTCGGAATCTTTCCTGGTAAACCCCTCTGGCCTCGTGGGCGTAATCCTTCTGGGATCTCCTTGAGTCTCCTCCTATATAGGGGCCACCGAGGACAGTCTGTATGACGCTGACAGGTTCTCGGTCCTCGGGACGTTGGTTCTCCTCTCGACGTCGACCGTCATTCTGCCTACCGTGGCCATCATTTCGAGGTCTTCGCTCAGCTTTGAATTCATGTAGCCTCCCCTCGTGAATTACTCTATCGATTTCATCCTTGAGGTCAGCACAATCGTTGGTGTGGTGGCCGACATCGCCGTGGAACCTGCAGAATTTCTTCTGGTTCCTTCGGCTGGGATCTGTCCTCATTAGCTCTGGGCGGCACAGCAGATTTTCGCGGCTGACCTGATTGAAGACTTCCTCGACTCATACTGTTAATTCGTGGTAGGAATCGTACCTTTGAAACAGCCGAGGCTTACGGTTCTCCTCCTCCCTTGGCTTCTTAGCTTCCGGAGCATTCGACGTCGCAACTGGCTGCTTGTCTCCGCTTCCTCCACCTCGACGCTTCTTCCCATCCTGCTTTGATGGCGTCGACCCTTGTTCGGTCCCTTTGTTCTTGTTGGACCTGTGCTCGGGGTCGTTTGCGTCTGCCTCCTCGGCGTTGATGTATCCTTGCGCTCGCGCAAGAAATTCCTTATAGCTGGACGGTGGCTTTTGGTTCAGCTCTCTCTTGAAGGGGGTAATCTTCTTCATACTAGATAATGCCCCCATCAAGACCTCTCTGCCAGTTATATCCATCATGGCGGCGACAGCTTCCCCATACCTCGCAAGTTATTCTCTCAATGACTCATTCGACTGTTGGTATATCGTCGTCTTGTTCTGCTTCGGGGGGACATATTTTTTAACCCCTATGAATTGGAGGGAAAATGCTTCCTTCAGCTCATCCCAGCTCGAGATAGAGTTTGGCCTCAGCGTCCGAAACCATTTTCGGCCAGAGTCCGTCAAATGGTTCCGGAAGGCTCGGCACATAATTTCCTCAGCATACCCATGTAAGAGCATGTGCCCCGTGTACATTTTTAAGTGATCGTCGGGATCCCCTCGACCATCATATGGTGGGATCGACGGCTATCGGTATTTGTCGGGGAGAGGTGGCGCCATTATCTCTTCGGTAAATGGGTGGTCGTGTGTGTGACTAGGTGTGATATCGACGTTTACCACCTCAGCCACTCGCCCTGTGTTCTTTTTCAGGCTTGCTACGTCCCCTGTGAGTTTTTGCTCCAGGCTGGCCATGTGCTCCATGATGGCGTGCGCCTCCTCTGTTGAGATGGCCGAGCCAGCTACTATCGACGCCTCTGCCCTTTGACCGTTGGGTCCGCCTCTTGCCTGCCTGCCCGCCTGTACTGACCCTGAGTCTCTCGGTGGGTTTCTTCCTGGGTTTTGGGGTAGTACCTCAGGGTTTCCCCGGCCTCTTGGTATCGGGTCCTCGGGAGCCCGGAGTCCGGAGGCCCTTAAATGGCCACCGGAGGATTGGGAAGGTCGGGGCCTGGGCTGGCCCCTTTGATCATCACTATCCCCGATCTCTTCTAAGATATGTGGGCGGTCACCAGGGTTGGGGTTTTCGGCCATGGCATGTCCCAGTGACATCGGGGCGTCTTCTAAAGGTGGCATAGAGTTTCTTCCGTCCAAGCGTTCGACCACAGTCATTAGTCCACGTACCAGATCGGTTAGAGTGGCTAATTGGGCCTGCATCTGCACAGGATCCGGTCGCGGCACGTCTGGGGGTGGGACCTCATTTCTGACCGGGGATGGAACCTCCTCCACCCCGTCATTCACCGGATGAGTGGCGGTCTCGTCCATCTGGCTGCCTTGGTTGTTGGCCTCAATTCTTCTTCTTAGAGGCATGTTTGCTGACTATGTTGTTGTTGCTGGGGGTTGATTAGTGCATGAAAATGCACCCTAAATATTGCTTTTGATTTACACAATATTAAAATATTTAAGCTTTAATTAAACAATTCCATTATTTTTATTCATAATATTTTTAATTGGAATTTGTCTAGTTTTTGTTTAATTATTTACAGATAAAAAGCAGTGTAAAAAGTCACACAAAAATAAGCCATGAAAGCCATATTTTCAACCATCCGGAGCCAAGCCTCTCAGCCGAGCCGCGCAACCCATCAGAAAGAGAGAGCCGAGCCGATTGAGCCGAGTAAGCTGAGCCGGCCAAGTCACATCAGTCCGCGTGGGTCCCAGCTTTTCCATGCTCCCCGACTCTCCCTCGCGCGCGTCCTCAGCACGCGGCTCATCAGAGCGCGCGTTCCTTCCATGCGTTCGTCAGCGCGCGTCCAAGGCCTTCCTCACGTGGGTCCCGCACGATAGCGTGCCAGCCCAGCTCACTCCGCGCACGCCAGCTGTCCCCACGACAGCCTTCTGCCAGCACACGCCAGCCACTCCGAGCGCGACACGTGGCGGCTCAATTCCATGCCTCCAACCAAGCTTCGACACGTGTCCAGATGATGTGCTAAATCCGGATTTCTTCTCCTCAAATTACCAGATTTCTTCCCCAAATCAAATATATGATTTCTCCTAATTTATGTGTAATTTTATTTTATTTCCTTTTCTTTTATAATTTTCTAGTTTTACTATTTATTTCCTTATTTGACAGGCAACCTCTGAACACTATAAATAAAGGGGTTAGCCTAAGGTTTTTAGAAGCTGGGAATATTCAGTTTTCTATCGTCTTGCTGTCAGTCTCATATTTTCTCTCTAGAACTTGTGAGAATGTTTTGCAAGATAGGCTAGAGTTTTCTTGGTGAGGTTAGAGATGAACTTCTGTTGAGTCACCCAATGTGGGGTTTTGATTCCTTGTGCTGTAAAGTTTAACATCTGAATAAATTAAATCTCATCTATTTTTCTATTACTTTTCAAAATATTGTGTGTCAATTTTTATATAAGTTCAGTGTCGCTTTTCTTATGTAATTATGTCACACAATGTTTTGTTATTCAAATTATTTTACAAATTGTCTTTTACTGCAATATTGTCAGATTGATATATTGTCGATTTTAGATAACTTGTAATAATAATATTTTCTGAGCCAACATACAGATTTAATTTATTCGGTTATTTAATATTGTGAATCAAAACTTGGATTGGTGAACGAAGCATTAGGGATTCTCGACACTTTACCGTTTTCTTCATACAGATTTTCTCCTTTTTATTTTATTTGCAACAAAAATCTCAAAAACTCTCATTTTTCTTTAATTCACTTTTCTCTAACGCTCTTATTCTGTTAATCATTCTTGTTATTTTGTTATCTCTCTGTGGATACGACCGCCCTTCTGTGCTACAATTGACCGCTTGTGAATATCACTTTTGAGCGTTAATCAGGGGTCAAACGCGTGTCGTCCCCAGTGGAGTCGCCAATTGTTGACGGTGAATTTTCGCCAACAAAAATAGGCCGATTTACCTCTGGTTTTTCGTCGGATTACCGGCTTAAATATAGGTTATATGTAGGAGTTTGATGTGCTTGCGGTATTTTTTGTGCAGTAGGCAATATAATAAAAAATACTTAAAGTAGGAAAACGCACAAGATTTATAGTGGTTCACTCTTATAAAATGAAGAGCTACATCCACTGTGGTTTGTTATTCCTTTTTGAGATTGTTACAATTTACAATATGCTCTTTCGTTCTTTCTTTCTTATAAAAGATCAACCTTCTTTCCGTATGAGGTTTCTCTCCTTTTATAGCCGAGCTTCCTTCGTTAGAGGGGTTTTCTCCTGTAGGCTGAACAAGCACTCAAGTGGTCTCCCTTTCTAGGCCCAACCCATAGCCCACTAATCACTTTTTGCACACTGTTCACTCAGTCAATTAGTCTCCCATTACGGCTATGTGCACAGCTGTAACCCTTTTCTGTCCCCCGTAGGGGCGGTTTAAGGGTTTGCATTTAATGTTTGTACTGTGGACATCCCTTACGCAGCTTGCCACGTCAGGCTTTCCCTCAAGGAGCATTCCCCTCGTCGCCAGTGTTGTTTAGCCCAATTGTTCTTCTTGGCGGGGGACTTCTATGTTGTAAGGTCGACGGTACGACCTGTCGATGCCAAATGAAATCGACGCCCTAAGTTGGGCTTCTTACTCGGGCTCTAAACGACGGAAGGGAAAGGGGTCTCAGACGTCGAGGGTTCTGCTTTGCGAGAATAGATTAAGGCCATGTGTCATGTTGTCCTTCATATTTTCTCCCATAACACTCACCAACAAGCTTTTTTCCTTGACATCTTTTAGTAAGGTCAAAGGTGAAATTACCACTAGGTTATATTTGCAACTGCTTTATTAATGAGCTCGTGTTTTAAGAAAGCATAATTTTTTCTTTTTTTTAATAATTTTACTTGGAAATGATTTGCTTAAAATGTCATCCATTAACTTAGCATGTAAGCGTCATATAGTTGAATCTATTGTATTCTTAACGGTGTGTCACGAATGACCAAATATGGAATAAGGAGCATGATTTAGGGGTTAAAATGGAACAAGAAGAATAGTTAGGGCCGAAATTATCAATAGCCCTTAATTATTTTGTTTGGTTTCCGAGGGAGCAGGAGAATAACGTGGGAAAGTGGGTTCACGGCGCTTCGTTTCCAGTTTCATTTATTTCACGCGCGTGAACAAATAAGAACGACGATTAAAATCGAGTTGACCAAAATGTCCTGGTATTTCGTCAGTAATGTCCACGTGGGGATGTTCGATTTGGAGTGTACGGAATACATAGTGGAATGCGGAGCAGAGGATGATCGATGGTTGTAAAATATCTTGAAGGTGATGGGACCGTTCGCCACGTGGAGAGATACTATTTGATGGAAAAGCTTATAGCTATGGGCCTATTGGAAGAAAAGGGGTTAGTGGGTTTTGTAGCTTGATTCTTACGAGTGTGGAAGCGCGTGTTAGAGTTGCTGGGAAGCTCAACGGCTGAGGGTAGAATTGGGATTATGATTTTCATGGGGACTTTATGCGGCGAATTGCGATGACATGCGAAAGATTTGTATGAAATCTCAAGATTTCCATGTAATTGAGATGGCAACCCCACATAACCCAAAACCAAGATATTGTAACATTGTTAATCCAAAACAAAACAAAAAAAAAAAAAAAACAAAAACGAAAAAAAAACAAAAACAAAAATGGTTTATGAAAAAAAAGATGTTTGATTCTATTATTTTGGAGTTAGATGAAAATAATGCTAAATTTACTTATATTTTTAGATTTCACATGTTATAAGTTTTTTTTTATTCATATGTTATAAGTTTATGATTATTCAATTATGTAAAAATAATAATTAATTATATTGATGAGATTCTTATTTATAAGTTTGGTAAATACTAAAAAG